GATTCCACGCTCAGCGACTCCAAGGTCGACGAGAAGCTCGAGGCTCGGTTGACAAGGAGAAACTCAAGTCTGAGATCGACAAGACTGTCCAATGGCTAGATGAGAACCAGACTGCTACTAAGGAGGAGTATGAGTCTCAACAGAAGGAACTTGAAGCGTACGTATAACTTGAGAGTGTTTTTTTCCCCCTCGTTTTTCAATCCTTTCCGCCACCCCCTTTGGAGCAAAGCAACGGTATAACTAACTGGGTGACCCAAATGAGATAGTGTTGCCAACCCGATCATGATGAAATTCTACGGCGCCGGCGGCGAGGGTGCCCCAGGCGGATTCCCCGGTGCTGGTGGGCCCGGCGGCTTCCCCGGTGGACCCGGAGCTGGACATGCTAGTGGTGGCGGCGACGACGGCCCAACCGTCGAGGAGGTCGACTAAAATTTCCAATGTTGCCTCTCCCTTGGCAATTGTCTGTTAGGAAGATGCATCGTCCTTTCTTGCTCTTCTTGATCTTCTTGATCTTCTTGATACTGTTCCTCTTCTACTTCTTTCTTCCTGTGCGTTTCAACGAGTCATGTTTTTCATAGTGGTCTCTTTTCTAACGGGGTTTGTTCTTTTTTTTTTTTTTTTAAATGTGTCTATCCTCTTCTGCTTCCTAATTAATGTCCAGCACGGTTTCTGGTTTTCCTCTAGTTTCTTTACCCAAAAAATTCCAATTCTCTAGCTATTTTGTTTATTTTATCGTGCGCTGTCTACTATGCTTGTTGTTGTTGTTGTTCTTCTTCTTCTTCTTCTTTTCCCCTCTTGTCACCAGCTGGAAAACAAAACATGAAGCAGAAAAAGAAGAAAAGAAAATTAAAGAAAAAAAATATAATTTACTCCGTAAATTCAGCATCCGCAATAAAAGAACCAAAACGATTGCAACCGCAACAGCAGCAGCAGAATCCATTTGCGAGAGAGATTGTAGGAAACCCTATACCTATATATTATATATATACCAGATTGAGGTTGTTACATATATATGTTTGCTGTAACCTCCTATACCGCACCCGTGTCACAGCGTAAGCGTAAGTGTCGGGTAAAGTCGGGGCAAGTCGGGGCGCGAGAGGGACTCACCGATGATAAGTAAAGAATGCTAATATTGTATGACTGACTGACTTGCTAACTGTTGGCATTATGTTATCCCATCTACTTGTCATCAATCAATCGTCCCCATATTCTTCCTTTTTCCCCCTCTTCCCGATGCGTCGCACAATGTATGTATGTATGTTATCTTTTCTGTCTATCTGGAAGTGGTTCTCCACTCTCCACTCCCCCCCAACTGTCCAATGGCCAGGTTCCGTTTTATATTCGCGGGCTGTGAGCCGCCGTTATCGGACAATCTGAAGAGTAATAATAATAATAACAGCTATCCCCCCGTGCCACTACGGCAAGCCACCTGCAGCGAAGGGGGAGCTGTTCCCCCAAGATAAGGCTCCCCCCTCCCTGGGGGAATTTCCTCCCTTCCTCCTGGTTCCACGGGTCCGAGTGGGTCCGTTGACGTTTCCGGGCCCAAGCTCCGGGGGCTGGCCCGCGCCAACGCCGGCTGCTGATTGGCCGGCGGGGTGTCCTTATCTCTGCGCCAAACAAACTGGAAAAGCTTCACTGGCATCTGATAACTGGGGGGATGGAAATGGAAATGGAAATGGAAAAAGGGGGGGGGGGAAATGAGGAGGACGAGTGACGGGGGAAGGAATGCAAATACAGTGACGATGGTGGTGGAGGTAATGGTACTGTACATACATACTATACTGGACATACAGACTATCCTATACTATACAGGACAGTGTACCGGAGCAGCGTTCCACTGTATGTATACATACATCCCTCCTTTGTTGCCACCTCCTCGGCTGAATGATCGTCTTCGTCTGTCTTCCTCTGGCCAAAATTTCCTCCCTCACTCCTCTCACTCCTCTATTCCATCCCATTCCCCCAATTCACACTGCCATTTCTCTCTACTCCCCCATACTCCTCCCCTCACGCTGCTGGTGCACATACCCAATTTCCCACTTTCTCACGTCCCACATTCCCACTTTTACAATTTACTTTACTACAATTCTAGAGCTTACAATTGGAGGGCAGGGTGC